GCCAAATTCAGGTAGTTCTTACTGGCGATACTTTTACATTATGTTGCATTGGCTGCGACAAATTCATAAAGAAATAATGCCGTTTCTGAGTTAAGGAAACCGGCAGTAAATAAAACAAAAGGGCTGGTGGCCCCTAGTCTGTCGGCATTCAGCCATCCATTGATGCCTGACTGCCCAACATAATTGGTTGATGAGATGCTGGCAACCCAGACACAGCCATTGTCCTAGCAACCAATCAGGCTTGACTGCACAACATCAATGGTTGCTAGGACTCTGGCAGCCCTGACACTTTTGACGTTCCGGCAGCTAATGACATATGGCCGCACAGAGGCAACCGGTGTCCTAGCAACCAATCAGACTTGGCCGCACAACATCATTAGTTGCTAGGACGCCAGCTGCCCTGGGCCTGCCAGAGTCCTTGCAATCAACGATGCTCGGCCACACAGCATGCTCCAGACCTGTGCACAAGGCGGGATTGATGACAAATTCAGGTAGATGTTTTTGACATGCACATGAATGTTGTATGGTGGCTCAGACACTAAAGGTTTTCTGCGCCACTCTTTATGAATTCCAAGGAAATGGGTCTGGTGTCACCATGTTTTTACTATGAATTAGCATCCCTTCCCCTCAGCCTCCAATCGGCATAAGACCAGCCCTGCAAGTGTACTTTTGGTTAATAGCTGAGGTAATCCCTCCAGTATTTCGTAAGAACACATTCATACATAAGGCCCAAAATCATTAAAACAAAACGGAACAAACAGTGACTGCAAATGGCATCTTTTCTTCCTTGTGAGTTGTGTGAGGGGAGGGATGCAAGTAAAGGGTGGGGTCCCTCCCCATCCACATACCAGTCATTGAGGAATGACAAGTCTAATTTATACACTGAACATTTCCTTTCCCTTACATACAACATCATGGTTTTTTTTTTCTCTGCAGTGAAGCTTTATTTTTATTAGGTTGCATACTGTCTTGTAACTTCTAGTTCTGTCAGTGTTTTGATGCTTTTATATGAAGGAAATATATTTCCTGTTTTATCACTAGTACTAAAATACTGTGCATGTATTCTATTCTTTCACATGCATTCACACTGACATCAAAATAGGGTGTTGTCATGTCCATCCCTTCCCTCCCCCCAGGGTTTGTAGTCCAGATTCCACACAATCACCATATATGCTTCTGTATCCAATACCTGCGTGACAGTTCTCTCTTTTTCATGGTTTGAGTTGGACAGAGTGAATTTCTCAGAACCCTGCTCCTTGTAGACTCCTTAAAGCAGCAGGGGGTCAACTTACTTGATTCATAAGGGCCTCAAGTACAGCCTTCAACATCAACAGAGGGCCACACATAATCTTATTCAGTAAATGTGATTCTAAAGAGAACTTGTTCTAAATGTGATTCTGAAGAAAGCAGCATACATGTAAAAGGAGGTAGTCAGAGACCATAAACAATATACAAGCGATGGCCAGAGACTTTGGGTATGCTACAAGAGGTGGTCAGAGACTGCAAACATGCCAAAGGAGATGGTGAAAACAAATCAGAAGCGCCAAAAGATGACCAATAATTGATATGTGTAAGCGAGCAATGGATTACTAGGGGTGCTGCCCCACTTCAGCCTGGGAAGCTGCAACACTGTGGGAGAAAACAAAAGAGAAGGGCGCCCACCCTAATGTAGATAGTTTTTAATGTTTAAGAATAAAAATACAGAGTCAAATCATACTCGCAAAGGTGTAACAAATTAAAAGCATGTCAGGCAAGCCTGGGCGACATCTAAAAACAGTTGCACAGAAGTCTGTGTAACAGAACAGGACTCCTTCGATGACGCGTTTCCAGGGTCACGCCCCCTACGTCAGACCCCACAGTGATGCAAAAGGAGATGGTCAGAGAGTTTAGGACGCCGAGGGACATCCCACCTCTAGAGCGGTGGGGTAGAGAGGTGAGTGGCCACTGCCGCAGGTTCTAGGTTTGGGTAAGTATTTCTTTATTTTAGACCCTAGAGAAAAACAAGCACTAGACCCTTGCAATGTGGGAGTACTCTCTCTGCAAGGGATAAGTTTTCATATGCTTGGAGTTCTCCTTTAAGTGCTCATGCACACGGGCATATTGCATAGTAAATACAGGCGCGTTTTCCTACAGCATAAAATCCTCCTGTATTTGCTGCACCCAGGAGCTGCAGCTACTGTGGTGTTCTATCCATAGCAATGTACAAACAGAGTACTCTGTACTCGGGTGTATGCCCGTAAGCACCGACACTTGTGTGCATTTGTGCATGTGGGTAAGTTCCCGAACGCAAAGGTTTTGCTTTCAAAAACATACCCGACTGTGCTTGCGAGCGTACATCCTAGTACAGGGATTTCTGTCTATATATTGCTCTGGACAGAACACTGCAGCTCCCGGGTGCCACAAATACAGGCGTGTTTTACGCTGTATGAAAATGCGCCTGTATTTTGCTCTGCAATACACTCGTGTTCATGAGCCTTAAAGGAGAACTATGGGGTTAAGGCTTTTCCCCATAGTTCTCCTTAGGGTAACGGGAGGACACAAACTAGCGTCCTCCTGTCACCCTAGGCTCAGTATACCGCGAGCTGTAGCTCGCGGTATACTGAGACGCCGCAGTATACAGCGAGCTGCTGCTCGCGGTATACTGAGACGCCGCAGCTGAAGCGGATCCCAACTATCTAAAGGCAGAGCCAGCTGTAACCCGCCCCCTACCCCGTCCGTTACGCCAGTCAGCACTGGCGGATTGGAGCGGGGAGGGGGGAATCCGGCCCTCCCCTGTCACGGCAGAGAGCCGTGACAGGATCGAGAAGTGAGCGAACACCGGCATGTGTTCGCACACCTCCCGATCTACTGAGCCGACCTGTGACAGTCTCATTGTCACAGGTCGGCTAGAACTATGAGGTGAGTGAAAAGCATTCCCCTCATAGTTCTCCTTTTAGAGTTCAGATTGTTGAAGAAAGTGGCTGAATCTTTTACAGTATATATCATGTTTGATGGCGTTGTGGCATGTTTACAGCATTCCTATATTGTTTATTTAGGTGGAAATAAGCTTCAAATACAATTTCTCTATTGTGATGATTTGCATTCTTTTCTGCCAGTTGTTTGTATGAAAGTAGCAGTAGATGTCTGCCATTACTGCCATGCATATGACAAGGGGCAGTGTGGATCCACCTAATGTTTCCAGCAGATGGGACATGCCAGTGATTTTATGTGTCATATCTCAGGCATGACTATAACATACCACAGCATCCATTCTGCCATCTGTGGTAGCTGAGTCTTTGTCAAATCTCATTGCTCTGTGGGGCTGAGTCATATCTTAAATATCTTTTCGTCCTAGGGATCAAAGACTCATTGGCAACTGAGAATGTTAAAGGAGTTATAAAGTCCCACCATGCACTATCCTGCTATAACATCAGCATCGTAACAGGAATACGTACTGGAGTTGTTTTTGATAATGCATTCAAAACTGCAAATCTTGCTGCGCTGAAAAGAAGTACAGCATGCCATAGTTTTATGTCCGGCCCTCCCCTGTCACGGCAGAGAGCCGTGACAGGATCGAGAAGTGAGCGAACACCGGCATGTGTTCGCACACCTCCCGATCTACTGAGCCGACCTGTGACAGTCTCATTGTCACAGGTCGGCTAGAACTATGAGGTGAGTGAAAAGCATTCCCCTCATAGTTCTCCTTTTAGAGTTCAGATTGTTGAAGAAAGTGGCTGAATCTTTTACAGTATATATCATGTTTGATGGCGTTGTGGCATGTTTACAGCATTCCTATATTGTTTATTTAGGTGGAAATAAGCTTCAAATACAATTTCTCTATTGTGATGATTTGCATTCTTTTCTGCCAGTTGTTTGTATGAAAGTAGCAGTAGATGTCTGCCATTACTGCCATGCATATGACAAGGGGCAGTGTGGATCCACCTAATGTTTCCAGCAGATGGGACATGCCAGTGATTTTATGTGTCATATCTCAGGCATGACTATAACATACCACAGCATCCATTCTGCCATCTGTGGTAGCTGAGTCTTTGTCAAATCTCATTGCTCTGTGGGGCTGAGTCATATCTTAAATATCTTTTCGTCCTAGGGATCAAAGACTCATTGGCAACTGAGAATGTTAAAGGAGTTATAAAGTCCCACCATGCACTATCCTGCTATAACATCAGCATCGTAACAGGAATACGTACTGGAGTTGTTTTTGATAATGCATTCAAAACTGCAAATCTTGCTGCGCTGAAAAGAAGTACAGCATGCCATAGTTTTATGTTGGTGCACACCACTGCAACGCCCGTGCATTGAGGCGGTGTTGACCGAGCTCATTAGCACTGGAAACAGCGTCCAGCGCAGCCCCAATGAATATAGTGTGAACCCACCCCAAGGACTTGTTCACACCATCTCCAGACCAGAAATTTTTTATCTGGACCACGAACGCACACGCAGTATTTCCAATGGTAGAAACTATTGCGTTCAGTTCCAGAGCTTTTAAAAGAAAAGTCCAGCCTGCTGCATTTTATTTTCTGGTCTGGAATGCATAAAAACGCATGCAAACATACAGGAACACACCGAAAACCCAAGCACAACCAATTGAGACAAAAACCGCACTGGAATGCATAAAAAATGCGCAGGACAGTCTTTGCAGGAACGCATCCAGATCTGGTCTGGAGATGGTGCGAACAAGCTATAAGCCTGCGCTCCACCATTTTCATAAAACGACATAGTTGTATATTTTACATGTTTGTAGCCAGAACTTGTCACAACTGTACTTCAGTGTGGGTACTTTTTTAAACAAACATGGCGCTCTGCCAGGCCCGATTGGGGCCACATCAGAAGGCCAGGAAAGCAATGTGTATATTCCGTCTGACAGTTGTAGCATTTTGAGAACAGGAGGTATGTGTCGGGGTTGGTGAGGTTTGCGATACACAGGAAACGACTATTAGTCTCGTTGTCTGTGAGTGATCCCACACTCCTGACACAGCTTCCTTCCTGTGTAGCTTTGTATGAAAGCTCACATTACAGAGGCCTCGCCTGTACATCCAGATCCCACGATCACAGCTCACATCGGAGCCAGGATCTGCCAGCATCACCATCTTGTATGTATGTATGTATGTATGTATGTTGTCTCTGCATGTCACTTTGTCTGTCACCAGCTAGAAATGTCCTCTGCTTCTGTCTCTGCCCCGAATGTTCTGTCTGCAGTACTCTTCATCTGTGAAATGTATTGCAGCATTTACCGGCCTGTGACATGGAAGATGCTAAGAAGTCATACCCTGCTGTCCACCATCTGGGTCATTTCCAGACCAATTGAACAGCTTTGACGTTGAAAGGGGGTTTCAACTTTTAGTGGAAACTAGGAAAATCCTATCAATGGTGAAGTAATGCCAGTAGCTCCCGATCATTTTCATGTCATGCCATTCAGGTGATTGGCCCTCTATTAAAGAAGAACTCCAGGTTATTACCCCTTGCAGTGGGGCTACCCCTGCACTGCAAGGGTTAACTTCTCTTGGTCTAGGGGCACAAATAAGGAAGAAATACCCACCTGATCCTTTGTCCTGCAGCAGTGACGGCTCACCTCTTACCTCCCTGCTCTTCAGCTGTAGATAGACCCTCGCGTCTAATGCAGATGAATGGACTGTATTAGACTTGATGACATCAGCAGGCCATAGCCCGCTGAAACCTGGGGAAGAGGCTGCGGGGACCGGCCTAGCGGATAGATGGGACCAAGCACTATGTGAGTATTTTGTTCTTGCCAGTGAAACGCGCGTTTTACCCAGCGGAAAAACGCACACAAAAAAAAACGAGCTGAAAAAATACGCTCCGGTGTGAACCCAGCCTTGTTCACACCTGAGAGTTTTGTCGTAATTTTTAAAACGCAGAACACTGGAAAAAGTACATGCGCGTTTTTCTTGGCAGATTACAGCATGTTTGGCCCCATAGACGTCAATGGAAAAGCTTGGGAAAGCGTGACATTAGTGCTTTTGTCTATTGAGCGCAATGTGTTTCAATCTGCTTGCAAAAACGCACATCTTCATGTGTGCACATCTAACGTGCGCAAAAATTTGCAAAACACGCTAGACAAATATGCACAGAAACGCTGACGCCTAGATGTGACCAGAGCCTTATACATGTAATCTCCTGTTTTGTAGTGCATGGCAGTTCTAAGGCTCCATTTACATATAGAGAGTGCGTTTCCTGCACGGTTTTCTGTTTGGACTAAAACGCAAAAATTTTGAATCCGCGTGGATTCCGCTAGTTTGCAGCTATTATATAGTCGCGAACGTGTGGAACCCGCCGTATTATCGCGCTTGCACTATTTGGGGGGGGGCGGTTTCGTACCGTGTTGTCCCCGCAATAGTCTGAACAATGCACATTAAAGTGCGTTGAGGGGAATTTATCAAAACTGGAGCAGCTGTGCATGGCAACCAATCAGCTTCTCTCTTTTATTTTCAAATCCTATCTGAGCAAACGGAAGGGAGAAGCTGATTGGTCGCCATAGGCAACTGCTCCTGTTTCGATAAATTCCCCCCATTGTCTTTTCTGTTTAGAGCGGCTCCAGTGTGAATGGAGCCTAATGGAGGCACATTGTTATGTTTACAAATATTGCTATAGAAGGTACATTTGAGTTCTTGTAAGTATATGATATAGTATAGGCCAGGAAGAAGAATTAAGCTTCCTGTTGTTACCACTAAACTATTACCCAGCGGTGTATGAGAGATACGCAGAGAAGAAATGATTGTTTGGGGGTTTTTTTACTTCTAAAGTGATCTTTCTGGTTCTGTCGGGTACTTCAGAAGAAGACAACACACACACATTTTGGTATACAGATCTGAGAATGACATACTTGGCAGAGCTCACATTGCTGTATTGTTTTTCCAGCCCTTGCTTGTATTACTTGGTTCTAGCCTGAAATATGCATTTATTTGTGCCATACAGAGAACCTTATATCATTATTGATAGAGTATTAATTATAATATTATTATTATTATTGTCAGAATAAACTTGGAGGGGAAAAAAAACAGATGGGCTGAAAATTTTGCTTAAAGTGACATTAAACCCTCAGATTTTTTAACATAAACCAATACTGTAATGTTTGCCTTACTGTAATCCATGGTAGTTTCCCTTCTCTCTGCTGCTCTTCCTTTTTAAATCTGTATCTGTTCTCATGCTGGGGGAGAACTTCCCTTTTGCCTGCGACATCGCAGAAAACGACCACCCACAAAATTGACCATAGGCGACGCTTTAAACGCTTTTACCGCTCATCAGTTTAGTGTTATCAGTAATTAATGGCCCTAAAATGATTGCTCGCACTCTGATCGTCATTTTTGCACGTAGGCGCACCCAAAGCATGTTTGCGTGTGCATGTGGGGGGCGAGGGACTTTAAAAGGAAATTTTGTGTTTTTTATTTTACTTTTTTTTTTATTTTTTTTATTTGTGACTTTATTTTATGCTTTAATTTTTTATACAACTTTTTTACACTTTATTGCTATCACATAGGGAGCTAAGAAACCAATTCACATGACGGGTCATCTTTATTGAGACATCAGGGGTCTCCAAGACTCCTGATGTCACCTAGGGATCCCCAGAGAACCACACTGGGCGCCACACACAAGCGGGGGAGGGGGAGGACGTCTTAAGGCGCCCTCTCGCTCCTATAAGGCTCCCGTCCGGCCGTTCAGGAATGTCCATGAACATGAGGTGGTTAATGATGTCTCTGCTCTACAGTTCTTCTTTTTGTTCACCAATGTTGAACACAGATCAGCCCTCTTCTGCAACCTCTCAACCTGTGACCTGCTACATAGTTAAAGCAGTGTTCAGCTCTTAAACTTTTTTTTTTTATATATAATGAATCTAGATCAGACAAATGTACATTGCCCAGCAAAGCATTGCTTTACATTTTTGCCTATCACTTAGTCGTCATGTTTCTGATCAGCTGCTTCCAAGTCTCTCAGCTCGGCTTCCCTGAACTTCCTGTCCAGTACAATATCACAAGGGACAGAGTAGACTCCAGCAATTGTTCATTTACTAGCTTGGAGAAGGGAATAGGGAAAATAGGGGGCCAGGGGAGTGTCTGTGTGTTTGTGGAGACACGCACACACAATGGTGCCTCCATAGGACTCTGCAAGGGAAAGGAATCACTCTAAAGCAGGAAGTTAGGGAGAGCGCTCAGGGGACCAGCTGAAATTAAAACTTTTAAACATCAAGGAGCAGCATCCATTGTAAGTGATTATATCAGCATTTGAAATAGATTAAAGTTTTAACTTTAATGTCACTTTAAGCTGGCCAAATCTCATCAGAACATTCAATAACGCCATCAGAGACCTCACGAATGTCATTTGAAATTTCTTTTTAACATTCAATTTTGGAAATTAATGTTAAGATATGCAAAATCTTGAAGCACCTCCAGTCTAAAATGTAAACAAAACTCAAAAATAACTTGTGTCCCCCTCCAAAATACATACCAGACTCTTAGACCCTAGAAAGGTGCTGGTATCAATTTTATAGGAAGGGAGGGGGGCACACAAAACAAGTGGTGTTCCCACTTCACATCGGGAGCCATCTTCATATTGGAAGCCTTCCTTTTCATTAGGAGCTCCCTTCACATAAGGAGTGCTCTCCTTCCACATCAGAAGAGCCCCTTCGCACCAGACTTAACCTGTCACAGTCCTGGAAATATGACGAAAGAATACTTAAATGACAAATTCACAGCAGGGGTAGGAAAACTCCAGCCTTCCAGCTGTGGTGCAACTGCAAAACCCATGAGGCATTGCAAGACTGACAGGCCACAGGCATGACTCCCAGAAGCAGATGCATGATGATATTTGTAGTTTCACCACAGCTCAAGGGCCAGACTTTGCCTATCCCTGCTTTACAGTTTACCCTCTCCCGCTCAGTGTAGTCCACAGAAGATGAACGTTACCTTCCGTCCCGCTCTGGAGAGTCCCAACTGGGCCCCCTGCTCCTGGCGTGAGTTCATTCATTCCTTTGGATGGTTGTGCCCCCTTGAGTACCTACAAGCCATGGGAATCCATGAGGCATGAGTGCACAGGGCACAATGAGGGCTTTTTTGGAGCAAAGGCTTCGCAACGCCAAGCATGGCCATACAGTCAAGAACTCTGGAGTGGGGCTGAAGGTATTTTCCCTTGTAGGTTACTATCATGAGATGGGTGGGGGGGTAGAGGTCCCCTTCAATAACAACAGCAAGTCAAAGCTATTTGTTTAACTTCTTTTAATTAACAACGTTGAGCATCTTTTTTTTGTTCAATAGATTTTCACTGTTATTAAGTTGACAATAAGAATGGGTATTTAACGAATACAGTTCAAGAGTAAAAAACGAATATAAAAAAATGAAAGGATTAGTGCAGTTGAAAACAAAATGCTGACATCATCAATCCCACCCTCCATCTGCACAGACGCATACTTACCGAGTTCTGGCGGGCCCGGTTGTTCGAATATCTCTCCCTTTCCTGGCCACGCCTGCACACTACATCCCCATTGACCTCTATGGGACCGTCTTCTGACCCAGAAGAGGTGGAGGTAGACAAGTCCCATTGAAATCAGTGAGGATGTACTACGCAGGCGTGGCCAGCAAAGGAAGACGTTCATTGCAGGGTGTAAAGGCTAAGCGGAGGGCTGGACTGTCAGAACTCTGTAAAGTATTCATTTTTGCACGGGTTTGGATCGATTTGGTCAGCTTAAAGGGATCAAAAGGGCAAGTGCACTTTGTTTTAAAAGGCACTTATCCTTTAACTTTAAAGGTAATAGACTCGGAGGATAAGATTGCAGCGTGCATTAAAACAAGGATATTCTAGTCCATCAAGTAGAGCAGGGGTGGGCAACTCCAGCTTTACTTTAACTACAGATCCAAACATGTTTCTGCCTCTGGGAGTCATGCCTGTAACTGTCAGCCTTGCAATGCTTCATGGGCCTTGTAGTTCCATAACAGCTGGAGTTGCCTAGAGGGTATTCCACGGGGCAGCTCAGATCCAAGTGATCCATCAGCAACATATAGTAAGGAAAACAGGACCCATCTGTATATCTGGGAAAAACTGAATGAAAAGGGGTGTGGGAGAGACGTATGGAAGAGAAGTAGGAGCACCTACTTTGTGCTCTTATTTGTTTAAAGTTACAGCGAGCTACAGCGGTATACTGAGACGCCGCAGCTGGAACGTATCCCGACAATTATGTCTGGATCCGCCCAGCTGCGTGAGTGACAGCTGGCTCTGCCTATCTAGAGGCAGAGCCAGCTGTACCTGCCCCCTCCCCTGTCCGTTCCGCCAGTCAGCGCTGGAGGATCGGACAGGGGAGGGTGGAATCCAGTCCCTCCCCTGTCACGGCTCTCTGCCGGCACAGGTTAGAGAAGTGAGCGAGCGCCGCTTTGTTTTTCGCTCACTTCCCGATCTACTGAGCCGACCTGCGACAATTTCATTGTCACGGGTCGGCTCAGATTATGAGGCTGAGTAAAAATCACTCGCCTCATAATTCTCCTTTTTTAAATGTTGGTTGTCTGTGACAAAATGGGGTCGCCTTAAACACTGTTCACTCTTTTCTGCCTTATGTATGTTTATATATTTTGTTCCTTGGGAAAATTATTAATAAAAACTATTTTATGCAAAAAGAAATACATATAAGTAGGGATATACCAATACCGGGAGTTTGGGCGAGTACTCGTACCCACCCAAATGCTCCGATACTTACCCCCAATACCGGAACTTCCAATCATGAAGCCGTTCAGCCTTGGCAAGTGAAGCCGGTGTTCTTTTGATAGAACACTGGCTTCCCAGGCAATTAGAAAGCTGGGCGACGGATCACGATCCGCTGCCCACCTTCCTAATAATCGGGGCACACGGCATCGTGCTCAGTATTTTGGTATCGACGAGTTCCCGGAAAAAAAGTAATCAATACAGAAAAACCGGTATCTCTGCATCCCTACATATAAGGGAGCGGCCCTACCTGCCAAAAGGATTCTGTCCATCCAGCCCTGAGATGTACACAGCACAACCAGCCTCTCTGCCATGTCTTTGCCCTGACTATTCCGCTGCAAGTTTTAATGACTTGACTCCCTTTTAGGTGGGGCAATTGGTTTTTCTGCATCCATCAGATACTTGCATTCATTTTCTAAACTGCACTTGAAAAATTACAGTGAAATCTGGTAGCCACAGGCATCATCTCAATCAGCTTCAGTGGTATAGAATTCACAAATTGTATTCATTTTAACATCTATGGTCTTTTGTCATTTTAATATATTGTTAATTGTTCTCTTTATTTTGTATCTTGCAGCTTTCTTGACAAAACTCAAAATGTCTAAGGTAAGGAAAGTGATGCTTTATGTTATCTGATGTAAAAAATGTTTGGGAACTCTCACCTTGTTGATTCTGCTTCTGGTGGCAGCTTATTTGGCTCATCTATGTAATTGCATTCACTTACTCGTTGGCCAACATGCTGCAGAATTTTGGTTGGTAGCAAGGCAGCAGCAGGGTGGGTATCCTAAGCCACTGAAATGTTGCCCCAACAGACCTAGGGTTAGGGCCTTGGGAATAATAAACAGTAGCTTCAAAGAGTAAGTAAAATCAAACTTTTGTGTTTTTTTTGGCTTTACTTTCTCTCTTGGGTCATAGGAGTACATTTACTAATCCTGTGACCCAAAGTCAGCAGATAGTGAGCATTAGCCCACAGCACAGAGCTGCGCCACAGCCGGGAAGGATCCAGACAATATTGTCGGGACCCACCCAGCTTCCTGCTTGATAGCTGTCCCTCTCTCTCTAGAGAGGCAGATGAGGGAGGAATCCCTGTGTGTCTCCCAGAAAACTAAACCATCTTTTGTTATCTTTGTGCCTGTGCTTGCATTCAACATTCCCTTAGACAAAGAGTACTACCTATGTAGCAGCCATATGTCAATTTGGGCCAATTCCTGCTGAATTGATAGAAATTGGATCTGTGGGCTGCTGTGCAAGAACCACCAGCCCAACAAAAGTTGATTTGAAAATCCACTGAGCCGTGTGGAAAATTATCGGCCGAACAATGAGTGCATCCTATCATATGCAGTCACTGATCGTGCATTCAGGCAGCCATCGGTGCCGTCACCGCTGAATACAATAGCCGGCAGTGGCGATTCCTCCATCTACACTGTTTGGCATGGATGTAGGAATGCTTAGCCACCTCTCTCTCCCGGGGGGGTGGGGGGGTGGAGAGAGAGCTGGCTAAACATTCTAGCAATTGGGTTGCTTTAAATTTTGTTTGCATTTTTACCATACTAAACTGTCTTCAAGAATTATGGTTCTATCATATATACAACTTTTTTTTATCAGCCATATAGATTTCTGTGTACAGGAGGAAGTTGCGTCTCATGATGCTTTTGCAGGTCTTTGTGCATGGAATTCTCAGGTGAAGTTCTATATCTAAGTCCCCACCTCCTGAGCTGCAGCAGCACAGTAGATACTTTGTAGAACTTGCTGTAGTTTATCTTATCCATTGTATTCTGACCTTTCAGGATGCTTTGGAAATACAATGCTGCTGCTGTTCTATAGTGAAAGCCTCCCTGCACCTGTGTTTTGCCCAGTAGTATTACAACATTGCAGTATTTGACTTCAGAATAGTTACTTTCACTTGAGAGGTCACAGTCTATTTGCAGAATGTAATGGGCCTCATACATTCCCATCAAAACATTACATATTTCAGGGTTTTATCAGCAAGAGTATACATTTTATTGTTTTTTTGTTTTTTTTTTCTTTTTTTCACCCCAGCAGCAGCAGCAGCAGGCTCAGTTCACAAACCCTGAGACTCCAGGGTATGTTGGATTTGCAAATCTCCCGAATCAGGTTCATCGCAAGTCTGTAAGAAAGGGATTTGAGTTTACACTTATGGTTGTAGGTAAGTGTTTGTTCTACGGCATGTTGCAAGCCAACTTAAAAAAAAAAAAAAAATGTGTAAACTATAAGAAGTTTGTGAATCTCTTGCCTGTTTGTGTTCACGTTGAAAGAGGTTGTCCTCGGTGTAAAGTCACTTCGTCTGAGTTTGCTCAAGCCCATGCAAAACTGTAACTGCCAAAACGCTCCATGCCCCTTCCCACTTGTGGTCCAATCAGTTGCGGAAAGGAGCATTTCCCCCCTTGCAGCTATATGTCAGAGGGGCAGGGGATGCCTCCACCACTGATTGAGCCGGGAGGGGTGGTCACAGTTTAAAGTGGGCTTAGGGGAACCAAGGCCAGGCTCATCGATAGTTTGGACACATGAAGAAGGAGGAACGGATTGGCCGGCTAAAGATTCCATAGCATCCCTTAAGGCAATCCCCTAAAGTCAAACTCCAGCATATTTCCACTCCAAAATTCTTTTTAATTTCATTTTTTTCCCCCACTGTTTGGGATTTTCCCCCCTCGCTTCCTGTCAAGACAACTTGTTTTTGGACTTATGACAGTTCAAGTAAAAGAAAAGCTTTTGCTCCTGACCCAAACTGAAATGACATAACAAATATCTCTTCACTCCCACACACTTCTGTTCCAGTGGCAATCCTGTATAAAAGTAAAAGTCCCATAAAGCTTAAAGAAGAACTATGGGGTAAGTGTTTTCCCACATAGTTCTTTTAAGGGTCAAGGGAGGACATATACTAACCTCCTCCCATGACCCAAAGCTCAGTATATCGTGAGCTACAGCTGCCAGGTATACTGAGACCGCCAAAGCCGGGATGGATCCCGACAATGCTGTCGAGATCCACCCAACTACGTGAGTGACAGCTGGCTCTGCCTATCTAGAGGCAGAGCCAGCTGTACGCTCCCCAGTCCGTTCCTCCAGTCAGCGCTGGAGGAGCGGGGAGAGGGAGGAATACCTGTGGGGAGGGGTGACTGATGGTCACGGCTGTCTGCAGGGAGGTGAGCGAGTGATGGTATGTGTTCACTCACTTCCCGATCTATTGAGCCGATGTGTGACAGTTTAATTGTCACACGTCGGCTCGAACTAATGAGGATCAGTGATTTTCATTCACTTCATAGTTCTCCTTTTTTTTAATGGTAATTTTTGTTTTTTTGTGTTGGGTTTCATGGTCTGGTAAACAGACATGTATGGGTTTTTGTTGTTTTTTGTTGTCGCTCCATCATATAGTAGCCATCAGTTTATAGCTGATGTTACTGAGCAGAAAACATGTGAGCAGCTTGTGAACTTCCCATCTGGACATGTCTTTACAATTCTACCCATGTAATGCTGTAAACCATGTAGTTCTCTTTTCTGCTGCAGAAAATGAATGGCCATTATCTCTAGAGCCAAACTTTGTATAATATAAACCCATGTACTTTGTATGTGCAAATTATTGTGACATAGTTCATTCTTCATTTTTGCTGTCCTGAATAATGGTTACAACCACTCTCAGGTTTGCCATCTGTCTCTCCGTTGGAGAAATTTCCAATCAGATCCACTTGTGAAAGGGACAGGAAGGGGGATACGACTCTCTAAGGACAGACCTAGATAAAATCACTTCTTTTTTTGTTATTACAGGCATGGTAGGGGGGAGAACTTTTCAGGTTTTCATTGCTATCTGGGTCCCTGTTGTCAGAGTTCCTTGCCTCTTTTTGTGTCAACAGAACAGGACCTAGGCAAAAAATCTCATACTCTTATTTATTTAATCTGGGCCTCATTTTCAGCTTTGTGTTCACTGCACTAAAATAGGTATTTTATCTCGCCTTGAATTTGGTCAAGGTTTGGAAATGTTACCAAAAAAAATCTGCTGTTCATAAAATCCAAAGGTTTATCTCCTATATAACTCATCATTAGTCGTAGAGGCAAAATATCCGAAGGGTCCACACTGGTATCTTTTGTGGAAATTGTACCCTTCCGAATGACTAGTTGTGATGACTGAGGATGTCTGCCACTGAATACAACTATGGTGACTAAAAATATTGTCTATGACTACACACCACCAAAATGCCACAATGAATTATTAATGTGTCAGGTCCCAGAAACCTATATTAGAAGTGGCCTTGTTGCCTCTCTGTAAAGACTGAGTTCAGTCGTAGTCGGTACCAACAATTCTCAGATGTGCCAGTTCACTGATGAACTGCTTTTAAAGAAGGTTTCTTGGTTACAATGTTACTATGGCAAGTAGTAATAGAAAATGTTTGTATAGACAATGTTCTATGAATAACACTTTATGATCACTAAAATGTCACATTTTTATTTAAAGTAAACGCTATTTATTTAAATCTAATTTTTTGTATTAGCGACAAAGCTAGCCATGGAAAAGTAGGCATGGTAGACAAAGCGCAAAATGCACATTGTGGAGTCTGTACCGCTACCAGCCACCATCTGGTTAGCCGGGTATTGGAGGTTTCTTGCCCTTTGTTCTGCTTCACAGATAAATCACAGGAATTAGCAACCAAGCATGCACATTGCTATTGATTTAGAGATGAGCCTAGGCTTGGTGTGAACCCAGTTCGCCTAAGTTTGCACAAGCCTCCTGAAAACTGTGACCACCAGTCCCACCTTCCAGGCCAATCAGTGGCAGCAGATGTAGTGGGGAGTATTTTCCGCCTTTGTGACCTATAGGTGGGGGCAAAGAATGCGTCCATCCACAGCCGGGGGGGGGTTGGCATTCACAGTTTTTGAGTTGGATTGGGTGAACTGGGCTCGCACCAAGCCCTGGCTTATCGCTACTGTAGATAAACCCCCCCCCCCCCCCCACCCCCCACCCCAAAAAAACTC